TCTCGCTTGCGCATCTATAATTTGGAAGAAACAAGTAAAGAACAAATCCCACAGACAATGACTCGTATATAGTGACATTATCAAATCACTGTGTTTTCTTATATTATATTGTTATGTCATTGTTCTTAGAAAAATTGTCAAATTGAGGTTTTTTGGAAGGAAGAATTTCATTGTTTTCCTTTTCTTGATCTCTGTCTATATCTCTGAGATGAGGTATTATGATGACTTTTTTTATTTACATTATTCTTTTATCCTCATCTTTATTGCCATATTCACAATGTTTCGGCCATTGTATGCTCTAACCTTTTTCAGGTGATTGGAATTTTGAACTGAGCCCTCTATTTCATGCTTTGTTATTATTGTAGGAGGCACAGTGCAATAATGGATAGCAGCTCAGATTGAGGAATTGGAGAACTGAGTTTAAATTCCAGTGGAGTTCATTACATCCCCTTGGGAAAGTGTGAAACCATCTCTTTCCCATCCCACCAGCTATGGGTAAATAGCAGGACAGATTCAGTACTATAGACTTGATTGATAACCAGTCTGAGAGAAGGAAAACTCTGAATTCAAACCAGCTTGTAGAGGGTTGAGCTTCATCAGGCTGTCTTGCCCATGAAAATTCACTGCTGCTATGGCTGCAGTAGATGTGTGCTGCCCCTTAGACCCTCAGGGGTTCCTGCAGTTTTGTCTTTGTGTGTATTATTGTATTGTTCTTAAATTAAATTTCATTTGTTTTCAAATCATTATTCTATTCTTTTAATGTTGTTATTTTGTTATTTAATATTCAATATTATTTTGACGCTACAGGGTCCCTTGTTTTTTCTTTCTTTTTTATGTTATTTACATCTTGTTTGTAGATCCACAGAGGAATCTTTTTATAAAGAGGATTACATTATTATTCTCTTATTCTATTTTTCTTACATTCGTCATTAAATTTGGGGCTTTAGTGATCAAGGAATTTATTATTATTCTTTCTTGTTATTTTATTATGTATTGTTCTTTTGTTCATGGTGAAATTTTGAGAAAGACATTTTAATTGGCTTTTCGATACTTGTGATCTCATGATTCTCTTTACTATGAAAAAAAAATTTTTATCATCATTCTATTCTTCTTATTTAAGTGAGAATAGTCTTTTATTAGAAGAATAACCATATACGAGGCTGGGCTGAGCTGAAAATAGGCTGACTATGAAAGAGTGATGAAATGTGAAATCTGTGAAATCTTACAAGCATTCATTTCAGCTCTTCTTATTGATAACTTTTTTACTTTATCATAAGTTTCACCCGATGCAAGACAGAAAAGCTACTAAAACACAAGGGGGGGTTACATGGGCGTGGAAGAATTAGGAACAGAAACAATAATAATGAGTGGGAAGGGAAAACAGTAATCAGGAGGACAGTAGATAGCGATTTACATTGCATTTAAATTTTCACAGATTAAAGTTAGCTGGAAAGCATGGAGCTGGAAGGGAGTTCCATCAGCAAGAAATGTAAGAAAAGAAAATGATAGCATAGAATTTATGGTTACATCTAGCCAGCACAACTCTAAATTGATGAGATCTCGATGCCAGTCTAGTACTGCACTTAAATTCATAAAATCTAGGTACCATAGTGACTAGCTCATTTGAACAATTACCATGAAAGTATTTATAGAAAAGGCATAGAGAGGCAACTTTACAGTGGTAGGAAAGTAACTGGAGCTGAACTGCCAGATCAGGACCAATAATATTGTAAATTCTTCTTTAGATTTTATCAAGGAGCTCAAGGTAAATAGCAGGAGCACTGGACCATATGTGACAGCAATATTCTAAGCGTGGATGAATGGTAGACTTACAGATGTGTAAGATAGATTATGGAGAAAAAAATTGTCTCACCTGACATAGTGAGCCAATATTTTTAGCAGCTGACTTAGCAATGGATTCAATATTGTCTTTCCACTTTATATCAGCAGAGAATGTGAACCTGAGAAGGCAAAACTAGTCACTTTCCTGGAGGATAGCATCAGCCATACTGATGGAAAGCAGCAAGAGGTCTCATAGATGATTAATGAAGAGAAATTTAGTTTTAGAGGTGTTAAAATGAAACCATCTTTTGCCCCAGTTAACTACGGACTTGAGGTTGTTTTGGATATCGGCTTCCAGTTTGACCTTATCAGATTGATAAGTCTTACTATTGAGGCAACAGTAAATTGTTGTGTTGTCGGCGTAGATACCAAGTTGAGAGCTGATGTCATCAGGAAGGTCATTAATGAAAATTAAAAACAGAGTAGGACCAAGGATGGAGCCCTTGGGAACACCTACATTAGTATGAAAAGATGTAGATGAGTGGCCATTAAGGATAACTCTCATTTCACAATTTGATGAGAAAGACTGGATCAATTCAAAAGTGTGTCCAAAGACACCATAACTTTTCAGCTTGTGGAGAAGACCTGTATGCCAAATCCTGTTAAAGGTTTTCAAGATGTGCAAAGCTACAGCCCAGGCTTCTCCGTTTTTATCTACAGCATGAGAAGCCCTTTCCACAATTATCATCAATATATCAGCAGTTGACCTGAAGAAGTGAAAGCCATATTTTTTGTCTGAAAAAAGTCCCTTCAATAAAAGATGATGAACCAATCCAACATTGATTAGGGCCTCTACATTGTTTCTTACCAGGTATGAGGCTGGGCTGAAAAGTTTATAGGCTGACTGTGAAGGAGTGATGCAAGAGCTGTGAAATCTTGTATGCATTCATTTCAACTCTTCTTATTAATAACTGTATTGTTTCTTTAGAGGTAAACTGACATCTGGTTGTTCAAAGAAAACTGTTCATCCTGTTGGTCAAAAATGTCATCAACAGCAGATATGATATTATCATCACTGCTTCCCAGAAAAGTATTTTTTCATGTTGGGGAACAGATGATAATCAGATCAGGAGAATAAGGATGGTGATAAGTCAGTTCAAAGCCACAGTCATGTACAGCACCATGATGTAAAATTTTGTTGATTTTCAAAAGAAATTGCTCTGAGTTAATTTTGAAGTCTTCTTCCTTGATAGATATCAGTTTGCCTGGAAAGAAACAATGCAGTTATTAATAAGAAGAGTTGAAATGAATGCATGCAAGTCTTAACAGCTGTAGCATCAGCCCTTCATAGTCTGCTTATGAACTTTTTGGAAAGTAGGTTTCTTTGTTTTACTTTTTATATCACAATTCATTGTTCTATTGGAATTTAGAATAAACAATCAAAAAATAACATTAATCAAACACAGAATCTAATAATGATGCAGTCAGTCACTGACCCTGTAAGGGTCACATGACACTGACTATACAAGTGTTAAATTCAAAGAACCTTCCACTTTTTTTCTATAGTATTATTCAAGCAGCTCAAAGCCCAGAGAGTAGCATAAGGTTATAGAAAAATGGAGACAGCAACTTTAAGAGAAACTCTATTGCTATACAAAGAAGCTAGCTTTTGACTAAAAGGGACGTCGTCTTCAGCCAAAAATTGTTGACAAGATATGAAAACATCTTTTCTTCTAAGCTAACCCTGCATACAGCATTGTCTGTAGATGTTCTGTTTTCATTATTTTTCTTTCTCTGTTATATTCCATGCTAATAGGACTATGGAATGGACAAACACAGTGGATAAATAGTAACAGGTTTATTATAGAAATCAGTACAACAAGCAAGAAAGTAATAATTGAAGACCACCAGTTGATGCTACCCAGAACTATAAACAGTAGGATATAAACTCCCTCTTTCTCATTTTATTCTAGAATGTGATAAATACAAGACATGTTTCATCACCTTCAAGGAAATTTCTTTCTCTAGGGCAGCTGACTACCAAACTTCAAACCCAGCCATGTGGCAAATAACACACAAACACAAGCTTGTAAATGTTTCTCTTTCTTTTCAGCTTTCTGTGTTTACACATATATTTTTTTTCTCTCTTCATGAATTATGTTATGATTTATATAAAAAATATATTTGTAAAATTTTCTCCATGTGTTGAAATTCATTTTGTTTCAAAATTTTCAACCTCTTCACACAATAAATTGGTGACCAACAACAAACTCATCAATTTCAATCCTATGGATACTTATTTATTAAAGATTTTAGATTTTCAGTAAAATTTGTATCTTTGTGAAGAAGTGGGTTTCATTTTTCATTTTTTCCAAAGTTATTAGTCAGTTTTTGTTTGATTGCTACTAAAATGTGCCATTTTAGAAAAGAAGTTTTCTATTTTCTTCTTTTTGTTCCTTTATGTTATTTTCAGATTAAGACAGAAACCAGAGGATTTTTTTTTAAAAAGATCCCATTGTCTTTTTTGTCACTTTGTATTATGAAGATGTTATTTTTAGATTCAAACCCAAATTTGTACGTCTTTGAAAAGAGAATTTCATTGTTTCCACCTCCTTTGTTAATATTCTGTTATTCTTAGATTCACATTGTAATTTGGGGATTTGGGAAAATGAATTTCCTACTTTCCATTCTATTTATTTATTGTGCTATCTTTAAATTTCCTCTGAAATTTAGGGGCTTCTGGAAAAGTAATTCATTTTTATTTGATGTGTTACTGATGCATTAGTGCATTTCTTTGCATTGTTTTTCCAAACGTTTCTACATATTTAGGATGGAAATGATCATGGCTCTCTTCACATTCATTTACTTTAATACTTTTGCTGTTTTTGGAAAACTTAATCATGTTTTTCTACTTGCCTACTCCATGGATTTCAACTTATTTTTTCTTCTCTTCAACTTGTGGCCTTGCCAAGTGTAGATAGCTCAATCTGGTCTACAATTTTACCCACATCTTTTGAAAAGGCTTTAGTGTAAAGGGAATGCAACAGACAAAGATAGAATTTGAACTTGGATTGAACATACCCTTTTTCGTGTAACAGTAACCATTATGTCACTTATATATCTTTCATTAATTTCAGCATTGTCTTCTTTTAATTAATTTTGAAATTTTGTTTTTTCATCACTGAAATTAATTTATGGACAATTTGTCAAATGTGGCATTAACAATGGAAAAAAACATGAAACAAGACAAGTGAAGAAGAAAAAGAGAAATTGTATTGGTAGATAGTGAAAGAAAGGAAGAAAGATAGAAGAAAGAGGAACGCATGAAAGTAATATAAAGTCAAGAAAGTAAAGGGAGGAAAGAGAAAGAAGAAAGTAAAGGGAGGAAAGAGGGAGGCAAGAAAGTAAGAGAGAGTAAAGGGAGGAAAGAGGGAGGCAAGAAAGGAAGAGACAGTAAAGGGAAAGAGGAATGTAAGAAAGGACGATAGAATAAAGGGAGAAAGTGGAAGGCATAAACGGAAGGTAGAGTAAAGGGAGGAAAGTGGAAGGAAGGAGAAGAGAAAGTAGAGGGAGGGAGGGAAGGGAGGAAGAGAAAGTAAAGGAGGAAGAGAAAGTAGAGGAGGGAAGGGAGGAAGAGAAAGTAAAGGGAGGGAAGGAGAGAAAGTAAAGGGAGGGAGGGAGGGAAGGGAGGGAGAGAAAGTAAAGGGAGGGAGGGAAGGGAGGAAGAGAAAGTAAAGGGAGGGAGGGAAGGGAGGAAGAGAAAGGGAGGGAGGGAGGGAAAGGGAAAGGGAGGGAGGGAAGTGGAAATCTGAGAAATGAATTAGCTATTTTTCCAGTAAGTGCCATAAATATTACTAAAATAATATTTAAATATAAAAGTTTAAAAATCGTAATATACATATACTTTGATATGGAAAAATAATTTTACTTACTATACGTAATTTCAAATACATTTCCTTCTGTTATAAAGTAATATAGTCTATTAAAAATAACAATGAAAATATTTTAAAGTTGTAATTAAAATTGTAGTTAAATAAAATGAATTCTAACCTAAACTTCTTTTACTTAGTACTATACGCACTTAAAAGAATCCAATAAAACACCTATAGTAAAATAAAATTAATATGAAATGCCAGATGTAAGCTTATGAATGACCCACGTCCTTTGTACTTACATGAGAAACAATATATTACTAGGTTTATATATATAAAAAATAAAAGTTTACTAAATCAGTAAATTAAGTAACTATTTTTGCCGTCATTGTCATAAATTTTACTTAAAAAAAAAAATGTACCCTAATATACATACTTGTTGTAAAAATAATCCTACATAATATAAGGGATTCTAATACATTTAACTGTTCATAAAAAAAAAATATAGTATAATAAAAATTAAAAATGAGAATATTTCAAATCGTAAACTAAATTTCAAATAAAAACTAAAAAGTATTCTAATCTGAACACACCCGAAAATCTTTAAATTTACAAATAGGAAAAAAAATGCCGTAAGAATTTTTTTTGCCGTTAACAATAAATTAAAAAAAATCCAGACGACATGCATTCAACGGATGTCAGTTCTCATTGAAAAATACATCCCTATCCCTTACCAAAATGTAGCTAATAACCGATACAATGATACAGACATAAGGAAAACCCAGACACCCCTTGTCCAGTTGAAGTAGATTTATCTGTAACCATGGAAACGGGATTTTAGCTGTGTCTTTAAAACCCAGTAATTTTAAGTTACTCCAAAATTCGCTTGAGAATGAAATGGAACTAATGTCTTTAATTTAATTGCAAAATTAAATTCGTGGCCTTTAGCTTCCATTTTTGAAACATGGTTAGAACTGTGTAGCGGAAAAAAACATATTTTAATCAATTGATTTATAATATTAATGCTCTGTAAATTTACATTGAGCACTATTTTGTAAAAATAAAAATATCTATAAGAACACCGGATTATATATCTTACTGTTCTTTCTTTTTATTTAAATACACACTGCTTCCCACTCCTTGGATTGGGGTGTTTTTGGCGTCAAGCAGAGCCAGAAACTGATCAGTGTTGGTATCTTTGTTTTTTCCTATAAGCTGTTTTGGACGCTTAACTTCAGATTCGGCTTTTCCATTTGCCTGTTGATTTCCGGAGCTCGCATTGAAATGTTCAAAATCGGATTTTTTTGAAAATTCTTGAAAGATGAAGACGTAAACTGAAGGATCCTGAGTCGGAAATCAACTGACATGGAATCCCATATCTTGCAAAGTGAGCCTTCAATTTGCCGATGACAGCTGAAGCAGTAGTGTCATCAAGTCGATCTATTTTCCCATAGTTCGAAAAATAGTCGACAGTCACACAGTACTCAATGCTGTCAAATTCAAATAAATCAACACCAACCTTCTGCCACGGATGATCAGGTATGATGTGTGGTATTAGTGTCTCCTTTTTAACTTAAGGGATCATGGACATTGGCATGCATCCTGCTGTGGCAATATGTGGTGTGACACTTCCATCAACTTGAGATGAACTTTCCCAGATAATGATCCTAGTTCAACATTGAAGACATCTGCATAGTCCGTTAGTAGCTGCTTGCACTCTGGTACTAAACTAACATTAGCAATGTTATGTTAGTGCACAATAATTAGGTTCATTTGTTTGATTGCACACTTCCCTAAAAAAGGGGGCAGATTCTATCTGATTACAGTGAATTTTACATCCGCATAGTCCGTTAGTAGATGCTTTCACTCTGGTACTAAACTAACATTAGTAATGTTATCTTAGCGCACAGTAATTAGGTTCATTTGTTTGTTCGTGAACTTTCTTAACAAAAGGGTTAGACTTCCTACTGACTACCACTGAATATTTTTTCCTATTTTTGTGGGGTTGTGCAGCACATTTTCCAATGGACTTTAGTTTCGTTCCATTCCACATTTTGAGTTTCATGGTAGATTGTTACAGGTAGGTATTGCACATATATTTCTGTGAGATTACATTGATGGTAACTCCACAGTCCACTTGGAACTTCACCTTCCTTTTTGCCAGTATATCATATTTGCATAGATAATCTTATCTGGATGTTCTCTCTCTCCGAGTTTACACATAACACATATCCACATTCAGTTAATTTTATGATTAGTCTTAACCTGTTTTTTCCCCATAGAACGCTTCCTCGGAAATTTCAATGTAAAATCGTTTCTACTGTTGCAAAATTTACATTTTGGCCCACGCGGGACATGCTTCTTTCTGTTTTTCTTATGTCTTGTCACAGAAATTACAGTCTATTTTTCCCTGTTTACAGTATTTCTGTTTGTAACTTTGTTTTTGCAATCTGTTTATTTCGTCTGTCACGTCCAGGTCTCGCGTAGCTTTCAACTGTGTAGTCACAGCTTCACAATTTCGGTATATGTCAATACATTGTTTGAGAGTTAGTGCTGAAAGCTGTAGCATTCTTTAACGTGTCTGATTGTCTCGTACACCCAGCACTATGCGGTTGCATAGCAAAGAATCGTGTAAGCATTCACAAGAATTACAAGACTTTGATTCATAACTATGCTTCGTAACCTAGCAATGTCCTCACCTTGTTCCTTGTTTCTTCTATTGAAGACATATTGTTCATACAACTCATTGGTTTGTCCAATAAAATGTTGATCTATCTTGGCTATTACCGTGTCCAAGTCATCTTTCTTTTCCGTTGAAGCGAACTGAAAACCGTTGTAAACTATTAACACATCTGGTCCGGTAGCGTGAAGAAATAGTGTCGTTTGGTATTCCTTATATTATTTTTTTTTTTATTTTTATTTTATTTTATTTATTTATTTATTTGCGCAGATTGGTTACTATGCTGTAATTATTCCACATCTGTTTCCAGAGCTTCCATCCTTCTAAAGCATTAATCTTAATGTCCAGCTTGCCCGGTGGTGAGATGTTTGACTGTAATCCTTCTGCCTTTTTCACGCACGTGGTCACATTTTTCGCCGTGTTATCGTCACTCCAAATGCCAGACGTCACTGAAACAGCTTACGCCATTTTGTTGGTATCAGTCTTCATTTGCAGGGTTGTAAAGCGTGAATTACTTCCTCACTGCCACCATGTTACATTAAGTCATGGAAAACAGGACAGACTCAGGTGAAAGAAAACCTGCACGAAACGTGACCGGCGTTTATTAGGTACCGGAAGAAAGATAATGAGAAAAGGAGTTAGGGAGAAAATGGATGTTATCAGGGAGCGAGAATCACGTTCTTTAACGTCGATTAGAGAGCATACATTAAACTGTAATACAAAGGGGGTATACATTAAACGATACTGTAACAGTAGTAAAGAACACATCATGTATTCGTTCAAATAGAATCATTTCATTGGTTAATTATTCTATTTAGTTTTCAGAAAATATAAGCCTGCGTACTGGTAGTTAAATAAAAAGTGAGTCATCAACCTGAAAACTTCAGTCGCGTTAAAATGGACCGGCTGGTACTACAGTAACTTTTTCAGCCTTTATTCGATTCAGAGTCGTTCGTTTTAATCACTTCTCGACGTCGCTTCCGGGTGACTTAGTCGTCACTTCTTTATTTCAGTTGATAATCGATTCAGCAATCTTTTATCGGTATTTTCCAACCCACGTTGTGCTGTTTAGATCCTGGAAAAGGTGTATCCAACAAATCTGTTGGAACAAGATGAAATCGATCGTACTAGTTGGATTACTGCAGTATAATAAATAACATCTGTCAAGAAATAAGTTAACTCTCTTCTTATAAACAATAAAAAGTTGGTTTAATTTGATGTCAGCAATATTCACTTCTGTTGGTGCCGCGAGTGTAAATATTAGTTACAGCAATATGGAACCACTATTTCAGATAAGTTCTCTGTACTTCTGTCTGACAAAGTTATGGAATCCTCCATACTTGCCTGTCACCCCCTACGGGAAGATGCACTCTTTCCCAAATTAACCTTTAACCAATCATCATTTCACTTTTTCAAACTTAACTTTCCATTGGTTAAAAGGACACAAAAATGTAGCAAGTTGAGACAAATCCTTTTTTCCTGCGCAGCTGTCTGGAGCCTATTTGAAAACCCAAAAATCTATAAAAAAAAAAAAAAAAAAAAATCGCTCGACTTAATTCAAGTCAGTCAGACACTGAGTTTCGGGAGATGCCAGCAGACTCCACGCGTGCCAACACACTGACTCAATAACACTACCAGCCCCTCATCAACTCAACACAACTCGCACTACTATTGCCACGTGAAGAAACTTAACTTACAATTTACTAAAAAAAGTGACATTATCACTACGAAATAGTAACTGTACATTTAATCAACTTTAGTGTATCAGTCAAAGGCACACAACTCTTCATAACTTGAATCAACACTTACAATTGTCACACACATACACACTATTATTTGAACTCACACAATTGACATATTACCTTGCAGAAATCAAACTGTTTTAATTTCACAAACTTAAACCATCAACATTCATTCACCAAATCTCTGCATGGACACTCTTTGCAATCTTATCTCACTTGCCACATTTAACAACTAACCTAACATCACTTTGTGTATGTCAAATATATATATAAATTCATGTTATTGTTGAAATCTATAACTACGTTGTTTTTTCCTTGGTTTCTTCAAGTTGTATTGTTTTCATATGTTCGTTTAATTTATTTGATGTGGATAAATGAATAATGTTCAAGCACATTTTAGGCCTTCACACAATTTCACCTTCTGACATATCTTACTTAGCATAAATTCTGCAACAAAGTCATTGATGCTGGGGACCACTACGATTCGTTGTAGTCTGACGACAGGCCTTGACAGCTTCACGCACTTGAATAAATACAGATTCTGCCAAATTCCTTCCAGTAATAATTTCGACTGGACAATTCTAACTACGTGATTCTCCGGGGGTGATCCTAATTCAGACCGGGGACATCCCAATTTCAGCACCCATACAGTTTGGGGCTTGCACAATATCCTATACATACGCATTTACCGTTTCTTTATAATGCTTCCAGCGATATCATTGAATTGACAATTCTTAACTTTTGACCCTATCAGCTGGCTAGCCAAAATAACTATTGTTTCAAATCTTTGTTATAACCCCGGACTCACAGCTGTGAGTCAATACACATCCTCTAGCCGGTGGGAATTGATATTTTCCTTTTAACCTTTTCAAGCCATTCAGCGCTTTTTTATTGTCTTCTAAAATTTGCAATATTCTCAGGTCCTATATTATTACAACTCCTTTGTCATATTTTCAAATATTATATCTTTGGATTATCATTTATTTTGGCATTTACAGAAGTTCCTTAAAGAAAAAAAAATCAATTTCCTGAAAGATGATAAAAGAGAAAAATGGAAGATCATAGTGAAGCAAAATGGTCAATATTTTGTTGAATAAAATAAAAAATATTATACTTTACATTATTAATATAAAACATTCTCAGTATTAAAGAACCCTGAATGTGTTTAAAGTTTCAGTATTAATGAACATTCCTAAATGCAAACTGTCCCAACTTGATAAGGGGGTCCGTAATAATAACACAGTTTAGTCTGGTTACTTCTCTGCCGGCAGAAGTGATACTCCTGTTTTTTTATTCACATAATGTTGTGGATTCCGGGATGAAATCCGGTACCAAATAATAACAAACGACAGGAATGAACATGTGAAAATAATGTATTAACGTAATAATACAAACTGGTAAAGCAGGTTAGTAGTTCCAGGAATACGGGTTAGTAGCAAAATATATATACAGTTTTGGTATTGAAGTATCGCTGTATGACTTCTTACTGAGTCTACGTTCTCGCTCACTGTGACTCCTACAACGCTGTTACCTCACCCTCACTCTTCCGGTTACATACAACTTTTTCCTCTGTCACTCTCGACTGGACTTGACTCGACTCTTCGGTCTTGCTCTGTTCTCTCGGGTATTCACTGGCAGTAGTATAAGTATACACTGGTGAGTCCATTTGTATAAAAAAGGGTGGACCCCTCAACACCCCCCTTAGATCCCTTTTTTGGGGGGAGTTAGTATTTTTTTTCTCTTATGGTCCATAATCAGAGGTTCGGTAAATTTTCTCTTCCTGTTTGACCTTCTAGTTTCTGTGTCTTCCTGTGGTCTTTGAATCTCAAAATTGCATCCATTGAATCGTCATTTTCAGCGGATGACGAGCTTGGCTCTTCAACCCGTCTTTTTTGTATTTGGTCAATATGTCTTCTGTGGGTAAACTTTTCGCCTTGTACTGTGTACATCACATTTCCTAGTCAGTTAATTATTGTGCCAGGCTCCCAGTAAGCCATATTGTTCCTGAACATCCTAAAGTAAACCCGTTCTCCAGGTTTAAATGATCTCTTGGGTACTATAGGTGTATGCTGGTGTTTCTTCTTGTTAGACAATAACTTATCAAATGGCACGTTTCGCTTCTTTTTACATACTGGTTGGACATTTTCTTTTAATTCAATTCTGGCTGCACCCTTACAAAACGAACTGATAGGTAAATCCCATACGTCGAACTTTTGCATCCAGTCCGTGCCCACCAAATTTTATGTATCTTTCATTACGAATATTTTGAGTTTTCTTGTTTTCCCGTGAAATTTTACATTTAGGATTATTTCTCCTTAGAATTTTATACGCTTTACTGTAACAGACTTTCTTTTCTGTGTATGTAACATTGTTGGTCTATTAAGCTTTCTCCATGTCTGTAGGTTAATTATCGTTATATACGAACCTGAGTCAAGTTGCAATTTTATCTTTTTATTTAAGATTTCAAGTTCCACATATTTCCTTATATTAGTATTGTCTTCGTCATGCATTCTAGTAGCTCTTACATTGGGATGCCTTGTGACCCATTTTTCCACACGCAAGACAGTTTTTATATTTAAAACGACAATCTTTATTCCAGTGTAGTCCTCCACATCGATAACATGCAGATGGGGGGGGACTTATATTTACTTTGCTTTTCGTTATTATTTGCCCCGTACGTTGCACTTTTTTCATTATTATAGAATTTTCGTTTTCTTTCCGGGGAGTGTGAAAATCTTTTTTCATTATTATAGAATTTTTGTTTTCTTTCCGGGGAGGGTGAAAAACGTAATCTTTTGTTTAACTTATGTATATGTGATACTCCTGACTCCTCAATATCCTTCGAGTCTTTCTTTATGCTCAGGCATTTTTGGCAGTCTTCTGATAGTTTTGTAGTGCTAATCCAGGTTCATTTTGCAGTTTTGAAAGCATTCTTTTGCGCATTTCGCTATTCTTTGCGGAGACTAACCCTTTTACAAAAATAAGACACTTGAAATTGTCGGGGTTAATTCTGCCAACTTGAAATTGTCGCAATGTTTATTCGCGATTGCGGCGAACGTAGAATAGTCCTCATTTTCATTCTTTGCGAGGTTAAGACATTTCCACCTTTTGTGAAAAAGTAACGTTTTCGGACTGAAAAGCTCCGTCAGGCATGTAACTGCTTCAACGTTAAATCATTGGTCTTCTTTGGAAAAATGTAATCCAAAAATTTTGTGTATTCTTCCGTTCCTAATTTTCTGAGTAATAGTCGCAGCTTTTTTTGCTTCTGTCCAGTTTTTACAATCGATGTTGAAGATGTCTTCATGACGTCAGAAAAAGTCCCCGAAATTTGTATCCTCTTCTAGGGAGTATTTGAATGTTTCTATCGTGTTCCATACTGCGTCTTGAGAAAAAGTCGCCTCTTTTTCAATATTTTGTTGTTGTATATTACTCGCTACTTTTACAATTTAGCTCCTGGAGTTGTAATTGTCTTTCTTCATTTTGCATTTGTCTTTCCTGATTTTCCTTCTGCGTTTGTAGTAATATTTTTTCCATTCTTTCTTGGAATTGGAATTGCTGTTCATTTTGGTATTTTATAAGTTCTACTAAAATACTTTTAAAATCCTCCATGGTAAGAGTCTTACGAAAAAACTCGATTTTCCGTATTTTAATCCACGTAACTCTTTGTTACCCAGTTGTTGTGGATACTGGCAAAAACGGCAATTTTTTCTTTTGAGTCTCCGAGAAATGCAAATTCTTGTCGCCCAAGCTGTTGTGATGAAAAGAGAGAATTTTTTTTCTTTCCGTGTAGGTCCCAATTTCTCGACACCAAGTCGTTGTGATCGGCAAGGGAGAATTTTTCTTTGTACTCTTCCTGTGTGAGTTCGAATTTCCTAGTCGCCAAAGTTGTTGTGGTCGACGAGAGAGAATTTTTTTTTCCTTGTGAGTTCGAAGTCCTCGTCGCCAAGTTGACGAAAGAGAAATTTTGTCTTTTTTGTTCTTCCCGTGTGAGTTCGATATCCTCGTCGCCAAGTTGTTGTGGATTCCGTGATGAAATCCGGTACCAATAAATAACAAAAGCCAGGAATTAATATATGAAAATAATGTATTAACGTAATAATACAAACTGGTAAAGCAGGTTAGTAGTTCCAGGAATACAGGTTAGTAGCAAAATATATATACAGTTTTGGTATTGAAGTATCGCTGTATGACTTCTTACTGAGTCTACGTTCTCGCTCACTGTGACTCCTACAACGCTGTTACCTCACCCTCATTCTTCCGGTTACCTACAACCTTTTACTCTGTCACTCTGGACTCGACTCGACTCGACTCTTCGGTCTTGCTCTGTTCTCTCGGGTATTCACTGGCAGTAGTATAAGTATACACTGGGTGAGTCCATTTGTATAAAAAAGGGTGGACCCCTTAACACATAAAAACAATATGGCCGACACGTTACTTCCGTGTCTGAATGATGGCTGAAATGGTGCTTCTGTTTCCTTAGTTCCTGGTTATAACACAAACATTTGTTCGTATAAACGTTTGAAATCAATTAAAATGTTTTTTATGTAAAAAATAACTGAAATCAATTTCACGTGATATGTTATACACTCAAGAATTTCTTATCTACTAAATACGTGGATAAATGTGTTTAAATTGACGTCTCTGTTTTTTTAAACAGCATATTTTTCTCTACTTACCTTAACTTTTCGAGAGTCTTAAAGAAAATGGACACTTCGACAGAATTCAAATCTGTGTTCCCCTTATGCGGGGAAAAACCACCGTATAACCTGGCGTACCTTTAGACCAACTCATTCACTATTGAAGACTCTCTGGAAAAAAACCCACACCGGTAAACACAAATGTAATTTTTTAAAAAATAGAGACGTCTGCTCGAACACATCTATTCACTAAATATAACGTATGTAGTTATAAGAAGTAAAGTCGGATTATAGATAAAAAGCTATTAATTCCTTTTAAAAAATTACACTGAAGAATGTATTCGTATTTGTCTTTTCATGGACAAACGTGTTTTGACGAAATCTGTGTAGGCATACGAAGCAGTTAATCAAACATTAATATGCATTGTTTTGTTCTCTTTTTCTTTGACATTTTCTCGGTCATGACACGATATCAACGTTGGCTTGCATTCAATGTGTTTATGAATAGATGCCAGTATTCTTAGAATTTCTGGAAGATTTTATCATTTCTTTCCACACTAGTTTCGTAACGTTGAAATAAATCAACAGTTAAACTCCTTCAGATGTGTACAGTATATTTCTTGCTTTAAGAAAAACAAAAAAACACAAAATGGCTGACACTTATTGTTGCTTTGCTTTCAAATCAGTGATGAAACGTTATTAAATGTTTCAGCTTCCAGCAACAATCTACATTGCATGATTTTATATCGGGTTGCATGTTATAAAAGAGCTTCCTTTGTTCTGTTCAAATAGTCATCTACTTTTAACATCTAATATTTAAAAAATATTGTCTGTCAGTGCACTATATGCATGAAGTCGGAAGTATATTTACAGGTGTTGGTCGTTGAATCTACAGACTATTGGGTTATTTTAATTGAAGATTAGTTTCCTTAAATTATTCGAAAATGAATAATATTAAGATTTCAAAATAAAATTCTTTCAACTCTTTAAAAAATACTTGACATATTTTCCAGATATTTTTTAATTCAATTTTTGACATAACAGCAAGAATTCAGAAAAAGTGTCATACTTTCTTCCCATGTGAGCTTGTTATGTCATGTAGCAATTCTTATATTGGTTACAACTACTAATCAAAATCATTGGAATAATGGAAATATCTAATCTCAAAAACATCAAAACACTTAGAATATTTCAAAAACCGAAATAATATTTTCAATAATTATCTTAAATTTAGGGAGAAAACTGCACTGGGTTATTTAATATTGATAATTAAATATATTGAATATGTCTGGTTTGCTTGCCTTTAATGAGGTGCTTGAAAAGAGAGAGGAAACATTTTGGTCGTCTTTACTCTCCAAGGACCACTATAGGCATAAGTATATCTGTCATATACTAACATATTAACGAGACTGAAAAAAGATCATGAAGAACCAAAAATCTGAATCCCAAAAATGATATTGTGCATAAAAATATTTTATATACAAAACATGAGTACACATGCATGAGTAATAATATCATGCATCACAAATTGTCTTACACAGAGAAATTTACGCACATATGAAAAGGCAAGTAGTCTGGGAAAAAGACTTGTAAAAGAAAGTCTTACTTGTAACATCTTTCTTTTTTCGAAGTTTCTTCTTTAGAATGCATCGAACTCGCATTGTCATCTTTGGAAAGCCCAGCAGCATCTGTACAACTTTGTCTGTAAAAAGTCAAACAGTAACTGATTATTCCTGCCAAGGGACTTTCACGTGGCTCTCAAGGGCCCTTTAATACATTGTAAATTCTTCCCATCAAAAAGAATTACCTTTTGTATCCCTATATCCTTTTTGTCTAATCAACAGTAAAAATTAATTTGAACAAGACAAAACGATTCCACCAAAAGGTTGATGACCATCTTGAAAGACATTTTCATGACTTGTGCAAATTAACCTTATTTTAATAATAGAATGAAAGAGAATAGAATCATTTGTATTAGACGATTTTAGCACAAAACCACAAGTCTTTCCTCCTTGTATAAATGTATTTATTTTTTACCTACATAGCTTTACGTTCATATTTGTTTTATGAACAAAACTTTTTTTTAAATGAAATCAAATAATCAATGAGCTTATCATTACACCGTTGCCCACACCACCAAAAAATGACGACCATATTTAATTCACTCTACAACTACATTGTATTTATAAAATGTCAAAAAGATTTTTTGCATTTTCTTCTGTTTTTTTACTTCCTGAATATCAAACCAAACAAATAACATTTTGTTTGTCATTGAATAATTAGGATTTCTATGTCAACAGAAGAATAATAATGAGAATTTGTGAAAAATAAAATTGTTATACCCACTCACAATGTAGATATAAAGTTAGTTTACTGTGTCATGCTAAACAAATTTTATCTCCTGAATCTATCTTACATATTTATAAGTCGCCCATGATTCGAATATTGCTGCCACAAATGATATGCTGCTCCTGCTATATATTTAGATTCTTGATAAAATCCAAAGAAGAATCTGCAATTTTATTGACCCTGAGCTGCCATCTCAGCATCAGGCACTTTCCCATCACGTTAATATAGCTTCCCTGTACCTTTTATATAAATACTTTCATGGTAATTTTTTTTTTTTTTATGAATTTTGTTCTATGCTACCTAGACTATGAATTTAAGCGCAGTACTAGATTGGCAGCAAGGTCTCATCATTTTACAATTGAACTGATTTGATACAACCGCAAGTTCTATGCTAACGCTTTCTTTTCTCGATGACTTCTTGCTTTCTAGCCAACTTTGATCTTCATAAATTGAAAATCAATGTCAATCGTTATCTGTCCTCTTGGTTCACTTCTTTTTATTGTTCTCGCTCCTTAATAAGGCTTTTTTTTCTTATTTGTTCACACTCAGTGACTCCTTGTATCTTAGTGGCTTTATTACCTTTCTTGGGGTAAAATGATTAAAATTTATGTGTATGCGTGCGCGCGCATTACTTTGTTTATAACATCTATTAAATCTGTTGGCTCATGTTATTTTACAATCTTACGTTCCATTTAACAAGCAGTTCAATAAAAATTCCAGTTGCGATTTTTAAAGTGATTATCATTCCAGTTCCGATTTTTAAAGTGATTATCATAAAGAATTCTGAAATCATTAAAATAAAAATATTCAAGGAAAGCTATTACGATACAAAGGAATATATTAACAACCTGGTTTCATTAATGAGATATTCCGTTGCGATGGCAACAAATAGCATATTCGCTTCAGGCAAGATCGTGTAATTCTTTGTGTTTTCATAACAATGGAATATCTCATTTTCTAGGGGTGAGGGCAAAAGTTGCGTTACGAAAAGATATCCTTCTTTAGGTGCCAAACGTGATACAAGCTTCAGCGATCCGGTCTCATTTTGATTCATGATTGACTTGGCAAAAGAATTCCCGCAATAGGATACCCTTATTTTCTGCGGTAGACTAATTGCCAACCAAGGCTATATGACCCAGTCTGTACTGTTATTTAACCCGTAGCTTGGAGAAGAAATTCGATTTATACGTTTTCCCAATGGTATTTGCGTGTAAGTGAATGTAACTAACTCAACTGAAATTCGAACTGTTATTCATTACACCCAGCACATCCAAGCTTACAGCACATGGTATTCACAAACGATCACCTATCTTGGTACTGATCGAGTTCAACGTTGCTTAACTTCGGTGATCAGACGAAAACTGGTGTTTCAACATATATTCATAAGCATCAATAAATATAGACGACATCATTATTATTATTGTTTGTGTGTTATGTTTCCTCTTTTGTATCCTATAGAGTCGAGTCCAAACTATGGTCCTTAGACCCTATAAGAGAATTGTCATTTAATTGATAGCACTTTTCTTAGTATATGAGATGTTCCTAGTGGGGCGATTTTCTGAGAAACTTGTATGTTGATGTTACCTCGGATAATGTTAATAAAATTGTCCATTCCTTTTTCTCACGAGGCCCAGTGCTCCGATTACTAATGGTACAGTCTCAGTCTTCATTCCCCACATCCTGTTAATCTCGATGTTCAGATCCTTGTATTTGGACAATTTCTCGATAATTTTTGTGGGGGTGTTTCTCTCAGTACTGCTATGTCAATAAGCATACACTTCCTGAATTTCTTGTCTTTTATGATATTAGGTTGGTGCAAAAATAATGTCGTTTTTGACGTTAAGTTGAACGTCAAAAACGACATTATTTTTGCACCAGCCTAATAATATCAGAACTGTTAGCTTTTATTTACCCGTCAGTTTGAATTGGCATGTCCCAGAGGATAGTTATATCGTTATTTTGGTTAACTGTGTCTAGTTGGTGCTCATACCATCTCTCAGTGGTTTCGATTTTGTGTTTCTTGCATATCTTCCAGTGCATATATGGCGCTACGTTCTTATGTTTTGGGTATATTCATTTTTTGCCAATTCCGGGCATCCTGAGATAAAATGGTCGACAGTTTCATCATATTTTGTGCAGATCTTATTATTATTATTATTGAGTGAGAGAGCAACTCATCAGCAAAGAGATGGCAGGCTACAAATATAACACCCAGTCCAGTAAGAGCATATCAGCCAAATGTGCACGATTTGGTGGCAGCTTTTGATAAAAGTGGTGCATAACCTTGCAGGTGGGACCCCAGTGAGAAATACCTTCAGGTCGGGTAACTCATGTCCCTTCAGATGGTCTCTGATTGAAGGTGTTCTTATGTATGAAGATGTGACACCCAAGTCACCTTGGCTGCCGTATCCTTCAAAGTTAAAAAAAAATCCTCTCGACACTCAGTCATGATGCTCCCTCAATACTGTCGTCCATGCAGAAAGTTACACAGTCTGTTAGCCCCTAGAGGACATACCCAAATAGTTAAGGTTAGACCACTGACAAGCAAAGATCAGAATCCATGAGAGCCATGTCTGGTGTGTAATAATAATAATAATAATAATGTTGCTGTCGCAGACTGATTTATTCAATAGAAATTCTGTTCTTGAGGCATAGTGTGAAAATTCTTCACAACTGAAGAGCTTTTCCGAGAATCTTCGCAGAGTAAATGGTGACAGTTTTCTGAAGATCTACAATCTTTGTCTTAATTCCAATTTTCTCTAAGCGCCCTTTCAAGTTTCTAGACGGTATTCAAGTGCGCCTATTACTATAGGGATTACTTCAACAGCGATAACTTCCTCAACTCCCGAGTCAGATCCTAATATATTTCAGTCTTTTCAGTTTCTTCTTATTATTATTATTATTGATTTCATATTCGAGGTTATCCGGTGACAATCACAGTGCATCAAGTTACAGCAAATCTCTTCAGATTTCCCACTTTTTCTCTCGGATGTATTATTCTACGCTTTATTCGGTTGGCCAAAATGTTTGTGTTTATTTACTTAATAAACAGAACGAATTTTTTGGCCAATCCAATCAAACCATTTAATAATTAGCAATGTGTATTTATTTATATATTTCCTGGCTTATGTTAGTATGCAGTTTTCGATTTTATAACTTAATACATGAGAAAATATTTGTGAAAATTCTATTGTAAGCAATAAAGATTATAATTGCATCAATTTATGATACAGTCTTTAAAATGTTATTTTCCCTACAAAGTATGAGTGTCCGGTCCTTCATTTGTTTGTGTGTGTGTTTATTATTTGAGAAAACCAGCAGATAACTATGTTTATTGTGACTTTATATACTGCGCCTGAATGCTTAAAGTTAAAATAGATGTGAAAAGATAAACGATATGCTTTGATAACTTTATGGTATGTCCCTTCTTAAGTATAAACTCATTTCATTTTCGTCCCGAAATTAAAGTAACAACGACGAATATATTATCCGTCGTCATCATCATCGCCGTCATCATTTTTTCAGTTCTAAATAGTGGTTTCCCAGAACATTTCGCTGACTGCGGTAACTCTTTGCCATGCTTTACCAACAGACCCCTCTATCTCATCTCTTCTTCTGTAGTGACATTAGTGGGTAAATTTTGTTTGTTTTTTTTTTGTTTTGTTTTGTCTTTTTTCACGGCATTGGCGTAACGGCCTTTTTGTAAAAAGTTATTTTATGCAGTGAAATGGTTCGTAATCATGAAAACTGTGTTTACGGGTTAGTAGGGTTTATAAGAATGTAAATTTGCAGCTAAAATGGCTTCCGTCTATTCCATGTTTACTGACACGTCCTTTGTGGGTAATGTTTTGCCATAGAATGATGGAAATTTTGTGTTTCTAAGCGTGAATTATCGATTTTACAGGGTAGCTGTTTTCATTTTCATTTTATCGAAGAATAGCATTGTGTTCTTGGCCCCCATAAAGACAAATAAATTATCATCTTTAAGTCTCCTGGCTTATCTGTCTCACAAACAATATTTACTGCCCCATGTGAGTAAATAATGATATAAAGAAAATAGGTAAGGCAATCAGCAGTTTGACAGAACAAATCAACGTGTAATAAACGACAAAAGGAAAGGAATCATGAATTCAAACAAATAATGATAAAATCAAAAAGTATTTATCGAGTTACTAGTGTAGAGGAAAAACCGTTTGAAGTTATTAAATATTTCTATGAAGTCCATAGATGATGAATTTTTGAAGTGATAAGAAATTTACTTGAAGTGAAGATATTTTTATTTTAATTAAATTTGTCTTAATTATTTTTACAAAGTAAACTACCTTCTTCTTTTCAACTGACGTGACTCGATATGAATCCAGACATTTGAACACCCTTCTCCAATTTGACCGTACAGACATCTTTTTATTACCTCGAGGAAAAACAAAACAAAAGACCACACATGATCTGCTCGAGAATCCTTCTGATTGAATAGAAAAGTGTTTGTAGGTTACCACGCTTCACTCCGCCAAAAGCGCTCGTTAGGGGGCGCTCTTTAAGTCCATAAAAAAGCAATCATATTCTCTCTCTTTAACTCTTACTTCCAGATGGACTGAACATAAATAAAGAACTCTACCGACAGGGTGCGTTCGCTTCCTTCACACACAAGCACATTCTCCTAGCTAGTTTCCGTGTCTCTTCCTTTCATTTCAATTGCGTACACATGTAATTCCTTTTATTATTTACATGTATTGTCGTTTGTTTTATATTCATTTTTTGTGTCTTATTTTTACCCGGACACACATGAGTCCACCAATATTCAAAAAACATTTCTTAAAGTTAGGTAATAAGAAAAAGTCAGGTTTTAAATCAAGACTGTAAATTGGGTTGTGGAATGATTTCCCATCAAAATTCTTTTAATTGTTTAATGAGAGGAACGAGTAGAAGCATTGTCGTAGTGGGAAAAGATTCCCTTCTTTGAAACGAATTATCCATTTGTAAATTTCTGATTTTTTTCCATTGAATTATATTTAAAAACTTTTATCAAAGCACAAATCAATCGTTCAATCAAGTTTTATTATTAATTTGATATTTGTCCAGTTAACGAAGGATCATGAATATATCACCATAGAAACTGCTCTGGTATGTATTCACTTGACGTTGTCTACACTGTATGTAGTTTCTCGTGGTTTCATCTTTCATCTCAGTTGATTGTTTGCAATTTTTTTTTATTTTAATTGAATCACCTTCCAGTAATCCTTGATACTTGTAATTTTGTTTCCCATCCAGTGTTTTGATAACGAGTAATTCAATTCCATCTGTTGTCGCTTTTGTGCATCACTAGCATTGCACATTTTTTTGATTCTGAATTCCAATCCTGGCTGAAGAGTGTCACCATTTACATAAAAGTCTACAATTGTTTTTTGTTCATAAAAAAGGATATCCAGGTTATCTAGAGATAATTGAACCTTTCTTATTCTGTAAATAAATAATCTGTGGGGTACCAAATTTTATTATGACTTTAAAAATGCACATTTTAGAAGTATATATTGATATATACAAATATGAGGTCCCGATCAAAAGTATTGGAACAGATGCTATAAAAAGAAAGCTACAACACATATCAATTTGGCATTTAGTTTCCTTCAGAAGCCACGCGCTTTATCCAGTGTCGTTTCCCTTAATGAAAGTGTTATAGACAAGCGTATGGTTGCAAGAAAGAAATACGACAACAGCAAAAATAGATTTACGTGATTTATTTCAACAGGAACGTGTGTTTTTGGGACAGCTACCTTGTGGTATAGTTCATAAGCCGGCTACCGACCTGGGTTGATCTCTCATAGTAGTTCTCGCTGGTTGGCGTGGCGCTACTGCTGCTGACTGCTCAGACCGACCGTGACCGATCTCTTCCCTGGCCTCCTGTTGACTGCTCTTGTACTTCCCCATGTGACCCCTTTTATGGCGTTTTTTATTGCTTAACAGGCTCGAAAAACGACGCGAGTATAATTAGGATGGAAGCATTTTTATTGGTCGAAAAATAGAAACACTTTAAAATATTATTTTATTTTTCGACCGGAACTCGTGCGTCGGGCTTATGCGTAGACGACGATAATGGTCATTTTGTGACGGGGTCTTGTCCCGTTTACATCCGGCTCTCACTCTTAAGTATGTTAGTTTATTTGCCTGAAAATCAGCCGAGATGTGTCTTATTTTATTTTATAACAAAAGCATTCCTGAAACTCCTCTTTTAGCTGAATACTTGAAGAGTTTTCTGCACATATCTGGGTTGAAAGCCGAGGGTATTCATTCATGCGTAGCATTTCTTCGGTGGGTCGGCCTGACATAACGAATTCCTCTTCATGTAAAAGCACAGCTGCATTTGAAGGCTAGCCTTGGTCACGTAGATATTGATCCTATGGGAACCCTCTACCCTTCCACCTAGGAAGAGCGATGCCGTGTCATCACTGCACTGGCTGCATACATGGCTATGTGACTCTACCCTCATTGTACTAGATGACTGTTGACCTTTTTTTTCTTTTTTTTTTTTTTTGTAAATCCTGCCGCGTGTATGGCCAGTCTCCTCACCAGAAATGCTTGACGCTTTAGTCGCTGATGGTACGACGGGTAATACTACTTTACAGGGTACTAGTATCGCTTATAAAGTGACCTGATAAAAATGACATCAACTGTTAATGAAATTGTGCTCATTACTCACAGTCTGCTAGAACGCCACCAGGTAACATTGTTTAAGAAAACTACAAAATCAAGGGACATAAATCCTTATCTTTCTCTCACTCTCTCTTCTTTGAGATTTAGCGACAACCGTGCTCACACACACACACACACACACACACACACGCGCACACACTATCTAAGTACATGTTTTCTTTCCTTTTTTAAGTCATCTGAATACAGGGTGCGATGAATAAATTGTCGTCTAAATGACACAAAAAGGAAAATAATACTGACGTCTCATTTTAACAGATATATTTACCAAAATTATACAAAAATATCATGAAATACTAAAGAGTAAATTTATTCAATAAAATCGCCATTGGCTTCAACCACGGCCTTCAGACGACTTCAGAATCTCCTGCATCTCTTCTGGTCGCTTTCCTTGTTTAAGTTGGTGAATGCTGTCATAATCCTTGCCTTCAGTTCATCTTTGGTGTTACAAGGATTTATTGTTGGTCTCTCCTTCTCAACTGCATCCCACCCATAATAATCAAGAGGGTTGTAGTCTGGAGAGTTAGGTGGCCAGATGTGAGCGGTGATGTAGTCGCAGAAATTATCTGACACTCATGACTGGGTTCTCCTGCTTTTGTAGCATGGTGCAAATTTCTGTTGCAACCACCCTCTTGACCCAGGGCAGACCTATCTACTCAGGGCACAATGTAGGCTTCCCCCTATTGAGTCTGAGGCCCTCACCAACAAATTCGAGATTTATTTTCTTATCAGAACGATTAAAGGGAAAACTCCTTTTAATCGTTCTGATAAGAAAATAAATCTCGAATTTGCCGCATCTATGCTACGCTTAGAAAATCATTCTGAACATTTTGAGGTGGTGTAATGTTTAGCAAACTTGTCTTACTAGATCATTTACGACTTAGTAATGAGTTCGATCCTCACTGAGCGCTCTATAATTGCGACCTTGTGCCACATTAAAGCTACGCGTAGAAAATCACTATGTTGTTCTTTACATGAAAATATAAAAAAAATCTTTCATGCGCCGAAATCGTTTCTTTTGAAAATGTTGATTTACTTTGAAAGTTTTCTGCTTCAGACGTAGCAAGTATTAACTCCTCCCACTGCAATCTGGTGGCCAACAGAAACCTCGTCCATTACAAACCTGTAGCGCCATAAACCTGTTATATTAAATTTTTAAATTACGATAAATAAGTAAATTTATATGAATAAAATGCTAAGAAGATCATGAGCATTTAAAACTAGAAACGATGGCAGAAAATAGCAAAGCATAATGAAAAGGTCTTGAAGAATCCCAGATCCGAAACATGATATCGAAATTCACTTGATTTTGTTGATCTGACAAAATTCTTCTTGTGACAAAACCCTGGAATTATGGCCGTTGTGCTTTTTATCTACAGAGATCAATAAGTTCTCCAGATAGGCGTGTATCGTACTGATTACAGTGTTTGCAAAGACGTATATTCTTTATGAGTTTTTTTTTATTTTGTTCTTCAGTGAATAAATGAGACGCCAAAATGTCTCTGTCTTTTCTTTTGCTGGTGGCAATTTTGGTGGAGCTGCAGAATTGGTTTTATTTTGAATTCTTTGTTTATTCTGCAAATGAAAAAAGAAATCCTATTATCTGCCACAAGATAGTTTGATGCCCGAATGCTTTCATCAGATAAACTCCCTGAGCCTAGTGCACGGGGAAGAGTCTGATTAAATTTGAAAGCTTCACCCTCAGTGAAATGAACATTTAGAGGAGGAAAAATAATTTGGCTGGGCATTTTATGTATAGAGCTCGTAGGGGAGAAATCTTTATAGATTTGCAAACAGAGACACGATACATGAAACGAAATTTCAAATAGTAAAAAAAAAAAAGCATCCTATTGGCATGATGAGAGTTAATTTTCGAAATTTGCATGTCTTACATGGAAAGGCAGGAAATTTTCTTATCAAAATTTATCTAAAAATATAAATTGTAATTGGATGACATTGAATTTTACACAGATCCTAATTTAGATATGACACGATACGAAAATAATTTACACTATTTACATTATTCGGACTATTGATCTCATCTTTGTCGCCATGTTTATCACAAAGTTTCGGCCGTTGTACGCTCCGGCCTTCTTCGGGTGGTTGGAATGTCGAACTGAACCCTTTATTTCGCTCACTGAGGTATTGAACTCACACTCTTTAGGCCCTGTCACTGGATCTAACTAACGCCTTTATCCACTGTGCCATGTGTCCTTGAGGTTAAGGTGGTGGAGAACTTTGAGAGGGGAATTAACAGGAGATAACTGACATCCATTAGACATGGCACGTGGAACTAGAACAGTCTACCTCAGTGAGCGAAATAAAGGGTTCAGTTCGACATTCTAACCACCTGAAGAAGGCCGAAACGTTGTAATAAATATGGCGACAAAGATGAGGACAATAGTCCGAATAATGTAAATAGTGTACATAATACCTCATCTCAGAAATATATATATATTGTGTGTGTATTTAGGCAGCATTTTTTCATTGATGCATGTTTCATTAAATAATATAGACAAGTGTTGTCTATGTCTTTTACGTAAATTCTTTTCATATCGTCTGATAAGCTTAATAACATTATTATTAAACGAAGGAAGAAAATCACAATATTGATACATATTTTTAATCCTATCTATCTGTATTGCTTAATATATTGTAATGTAATTGTCATCTTTGTTAATGGCTTATGTAAGAAAAAAAATTACATAAAATAAATAGACAACGCTTTGTTGTCTCTCTATATATATATATATATATATATATATATATATATATATATATATATATATATAGAGAGAGAGAGAGAGAGACTTTATACAATTATACATGAATTTATACATTTCATCCTCATCCTTGAGCCAACATTAAGAAGATGGAAACGACTAATACAGGAATTTTATTTTCCATCCGCAATGCACGACAAAAAGTTCTTAACTTCTCAACTTTTTCCTTGTGCAATTGAAGTTTGTTCAATCATATTTTATTTAATGAATGATCAAATATGGATGAGCAATGCAAAGAAGCATCAAGGTTATGGCACTAAGCAAAGGGGTGACAGACAAGGGATAAAACAGAAAGGGAAAATCAAAGGCAAATGATTGCAGCTCGCTGAAGACAAGTTCAGCAAGAACTTTCCGAAGAACACAATGAATAGATTTTAGAAGATACTGAGCAACAAGTATGGCAATGAGTTTGTCAATAGCAAAAACAATAAGAAATAACTCAAAATAGAACTAATCGGGAAGACAGCCAAAGAAAGATATTCAATTTTACAAGTCAGTATGACATTGACTCGCTACTGGAAGTAGCTGTTATAGTTCTGGTTTGATGAACATGAAATGGCGACATTGTAACACACTCCTGTTCATAGGAGGGTGCACTGGAGGAACATTAGTCCATCCTGTTTTTAACGCTTTTTCTAAATCCATATTCTAGAAATACTAGATTCACCAGAAGCAAAATATTTTTGATCAGACATTCGGAGATAAAACAGTGTTATGGCGATGTATAACATGAAAGAAAACAATGCTACAATTGTTCAAGGTACTTAAAGAATTCATGAAAATATTTATATACTTTCTGAAGTACTATGAAATGATGTTGCTGATGTGCCATTATAGGAATGAAACGCTATTTTCAACACAGTTACATACCATATTAAAATATGACCAGATATTATTCTTTACCCAACAACAGACAATATTAGAAACATACAAAAAAATGATTCCACAATATAACACACACCGTTTAAATCAAAGTGTGTATGGTTAGAAATTAACATCACCATTTGAAATATTTGACCAATCAGAAAATTAAAAACCTATTTTTCTCGAGCCTACTTTTGGGAAAATTTTCTTAAAAAATCCACAGATTTCGACTTTCAAGGGGCAGAGATGCGACTGTCTCCAGTCGTTTAGACACAACAGAAGATGTTGCTATATAGCTTTTTTCTTTCCCCTCCAGTGCGTGCCGAAAGAAAGATATAAAATCAGCAATTTCAAACAAGTCATATCCAACAACAGCATGGAGGGCGAGTGGGTTACTTCAAACAAATCATCTCCAACAAAGATTATCAGTGAATCTTCGCTAATGATAAAAGTCTTTTCTCTATCTTAGCTTTTTCTGTGGACCAAATATAAAAATCTATCTCAGTCTGTTAATTATCTATCTATCTATCTATCTATCTCAGTCTGTTCATTATTGTTGTGGTAGGATCCACCTAATTTGCATAGTGGAGTACCGACCATATAAATATGGTTGGTACCGTGAAGAGAGCGGAGGAATCAAGAGATTCAATCCAGAGATTCTGCCCGACTGCGACTAAGTCAACACATTCTCCAGGAACGGTCATCCCAGGAATGTACAAAAGACTATATGTAAATATTGTGTACACTTTCTTGTTTCAATACATTTTGTTCTAAGTACATTTTGTGTTGAATTATTATTCCATGCATTAGTCAAGTTTCAACAATTATCTATCTATCTATCTATCTCAGTCTGTTCATTATCTATCTATCATGATGTTAATTTGGGGTTAATAAAGACAAACGCCAAATAACACGTAACAATGAAATGGGGTTTATTCGGTTGGTAAATTGGTACAGAAATCGCCTCAGTAGTCTATAACTAACTCAGCCCAGAACTTCTCCAACTGTCTTTTGACATGCCACTATTTAACGTCCTTGTTTGTAGACGAGTTCATCTTCAAGAGGGGTGGTAGGTTCCTACACAACACCTCCCCCTTGAGATTACTTCCGGAGGAATTAATATTTTTTTCTTTTGGGATCTGGACTTAAACGTTCTACCCTCGTTCTTTTTCTTTTGCTTGTCCTTAGAACAACTGTTTCAGGCAATGGTGGAGTCGGTATATCAAATAAATCATATAATACCTCCATTGGTTCTTCCTTTTCTTCACTTATTTCTTCGATGATTCTTTTCCTTAATTGGTTCAAATGTCTTTTGTGCGTCCATTTTTGACTTGGAGATAGGCATCCGATAAATCCAATTTAGCGAATATTTTTCCTCCACTTAAACTTGGAAAAATATCTTCTGGTGAAAGGCAAAGGATATGTGTGGTCTTTTAAGCAATCATTTAGACCCGTAGAAAAATCGGCACACATCCGAATTTTTTTTTTTTTTTCTTAACATATACAACAGGGCAGGCCCACTCTGAAAATTCAATGCGTGAAATAACTCCTAAATTTTCAAGCCGTTCCCATTCTTTTTGTTAATCTGTTCCACAACACCAAATGGCACATTTCTTTTTCGCTTGAAAATAGGTTTTACATTTTCCTTCACTTCAAATTTTGCCTTCGCCTTTTTTGCAACATCCCAGACCTTCTGAAAATACTTGTGGAAATTTTATTTTCAGATCTTTCAAATTTTCTGTAACCCGATTTTTACACGGAGAAGAAACATTGATTCTATTGCAAAAAGAATTTATAGGGAGTTCCCATAAATTAAACAGTATAATCCAATCTGTTCCAAACAAATTTAAAGCATTTTGTAGGACATACACTTTAGACTTTAGTGTCTTACCAACAAGTGAAATATTACAAGAAAATTCACCTTGAAAATGCAATTTTCTTCCAGAAATCCCGCGAGCCACTTTTTCAGTCTTTTTAAGCAAAGGTCTGCCTATTTTAATCCATGTTGCTGTATTAATAATGGAAATATCACTTCCAGTATCTAGCTGTAGTTTAACATTTTTTCCATTAATTTTTACTTGTACGAATTTTCTTTTCTGCCCCTCCTCAATCTCCTGACGTGACAACACAATATTCACAATATCTTTTTTCGACTTAATTTTTTTTCTTTTGCTTTTACAATTAGTACTTATATGGCCTTTATTGCCACACGAATAGCAATTTTTGTCGCGAAAAAAACATTCACTTTTAAAATGACCACCACCGCATCCAAAGCACGTTGGTTTTTTAACGTTTTTATTAACTATTCATGTTTTTGGTCGAATAGCATGGACACGGGATATGTCTTTCTTCAATTTGCGTATTGTCATGTTTTAAGTTTTCAATTCTTTGACATTCTTCCGTAACCTTCTGCAAAGTAATCTCGGAATTTTGTTCGAGTTTTGCCAATATTCGAGACCTTATGTCCTTATCTTTGCTAGAAGTCAAGCCTTGAACGAATATCAAACATTTAAATCGATCAATTGAAAGCTCATGTAACATAAAACGTTCACACATTAGTTAACATTTCCAGCATACGTAGCAATATCCTCATCGTCACGCTTTACCATATTCAAACACGAGAAACGAGTATGAAACAAACTAACTCGCTCGCCAAAAATACTAGATAAAGTATTAAGTTTCTTCGAAAGAAATGTCACTAGTTTTTCTTGGAAGGACAAAATTCGTATACTTATTATTTTCATCTGTACCCAACTTTTGTAAAAGTAAACTCACTTTTTGTTCATCAGTCCAACCTTCACATTTTTTTTCAAATATTGTTTCAAATCTTCTGAAATACGCAGGAAATGTTATACCCTCCTCTGGGTTAAATTTGAACTCAGTAATAGAATTAGCAATACCTTCGGCCGTGAATGACGAATTTACTGGATTCTTTAGTAAAATTGCTTCAAATAAAGCGTTTGTGTCATTTCGCTGCTGAACTTGTAAATCCAATAGTTGTTCCCGAAACAATTTTTGTTGCTCTTGTTGCAATCTTTGTTGCTGAATTTGATTTTGCACTAGAGTTTTCGTTAATGCAATCAAATCTTCCATTATGCGTAATAGATTACACAAAACACTTTTCGAAAACAGTCAAAAAAGGGAAAAACACGTATATATCCAACAATAAGCACAAGTCTTACTTCTTTTTGGCACGTTGAAATCCTATTTCTTCTTGAAGAACAAAGTTCGACGTATTGTTTTTTTTTTCTTTCAGTGCAAGAAAAAAAAAAATTATATAGTCCACCTAGAGTTGAAAAATTCTCCACTCAGCGTGATGAATGAATCACTCGTCGCCACTGTTATGATGTTAATTTGGGGTTAATAAAGACAAACGCCAAATAACACGTAACAATAAAATGGGGTTTATTCGGTTGGTAAATTGGTACAGAAATCGCCTCAGTAGTCTATAACTAACTCAGCCCAGAACTTCTCCAACTGTCTTTTGACATGCCACTATTTAACGTCCTTGTTTGTAGACGAGTTCATCTTCAAGAGGGGTGATAGGTTCCTACACAACACTATCTATCTATCCCAGTTTGTTCATTATCTATCTATCCCAGTTTGTTCATTATCTATCTATCCCAGTTTGTTCATTATCTATCTATCCCAGTTTATTCATTATCTATCTATCCCAATTTGTTCATTATCTATCTATCCCAGTCTATTCATTATCTATCTATCCAGTCTATTCATTATCTATCTATCAATCTATCCCAGTCTATTCATTATCTATCAATCGATAAATCTATCCTAGTCTGTTCATTATCTATCTATCCAGTCTATTCATTATCTATCTATCAATCTATCCCAGTCTATTCATTATCTATCTATCTATCAATCTACCTCTGTTCATTATCTATCAGTCTGTTCATTATCTATCTATCAATCTATCTATCAGTCTGTTCATTATCTATCTATCAATCTATCTCAGACTCTCATCTTCAAGAGGGGTGGTAGGTTCCTACACAACACTATCTATCCATCCCAGTCTGTTCATTATCTATCTATCTATCCAGTCTATTCATTATCTAACTATCTATCAATCTATCCCAGTCTATTCATTATCTATCTATAAATCTATCCTAGTCTGTTCATTATCTATCTATCTATAAATCTATCTCAGTCTGTTCATTATCTATCTATCAATCTATCTATCAGTGTATTCATTATCTATCTATCAATCTATCTATCCAGTGTATTCATTATCTATCTATCAACCTATCTATCCAGTCTATTCATTATCTATCTATCTATCTATCTATCTATCTATCTATCTATCTATCTCAGTCTGTTCATTATCTATCTCTCAATCTATCTCAGTTTGTTCATTATCTGTCTCTCTCAATATGTTCATTATCAGTCCGTTCCTCATCTATCTATCTATCCAGTCTATTAATTATCTAACTATCAATCCGAGTCTGTTCATTATCTATCTATCTATCTATATCTATCTATCTATCCCAGTCTGTTCATTATCTATCTATCTATCTATCTATCTATCTATCTATCTATCCCAGTCTGTTCATTATCTATCTATCTATCTATCTATCTATCTATCTATCTATCTATCGATCTATCTATCTATCCCAGTCATTTCATTATCTATCTATCTATCTATCTATCTGTTCATCTATCTATCTATCTATCTATCTATCCCAGTCTGTTCATTATCTATCTATCTATCTATCCATCAGTCTGTCTATCCATCTATCTATCTATCCAGTCTGTTCATTATCTATCTATCTATCTATCTCTCAGTCTGTTCATTATCTATCCATCTATCTATCCAGTCTGTTCATTATCTATCCATCTATCCAGTCTATCCATTATCTATCCATCTATCTATCCAGTCTATCCATTATCTATCTATCTATCTATCTATCTCATCTATCCATCTATCTATCTGTTCATTATCTCATCTATCCATCTATCTATCTATATATCTATCTATTATATATCAATCTATCTCAGTCTGTTCATTATCTATCTATCTATCTATCTCATCTATTCATTATCCATCAGTCTGTCTATCTCATCTATCTATC